GCACACGCCTGTAGTCCCCGCTACTTGGAAGGCTGAGGCGAGAGAATCGCTTGAACCCAGAGGGTGGAGGTTGCAGTGAGCCAAGATGGTGCTACTGCACTCCATCCTGGATGACAGGGTGAAACTGTCACAAAGAAAGAAGAAAAAGAAAAAGAAAATCAGGCAAGGCCAGGTACACTCCTGTAATCCCAGCATTTTAGGAGGCCGAGATGGGCGGATCACTTGAGGCCAGGAGTTTGAGATCAGCCTAGCCAACATGGCAAAACCTTGTCTCTACTAAAAATACAAAAGTTAGCTGTGCATGGAGGCACACACCTGTAATACCAGCTACTGGGGAGGCTGAGACGTAAGAATCGCTTGAACCTGGTGGTGGAGGTTGCGGTGAGCTAGAGATCACACCACTGCACTCCAGCCTGCGCAACAGAGCAAAACTCTGTCTCAAAAAAATAAAAAATAAAAAACACGAAAAGAAAGGCAAAATAAAATACCATGAGGCAATGTTGTAGTGGTTAGAGCAAAGACTGTGGAACCAGACAGCCTGATTCAAGTGCCAGGTCAGCTACTTATTACCTGTGTAATCTTGAACAAATTACTTAAAATCTCCAAGCCTCAGTTTCCTCATCTGTAAAATGGGACTTACAATTATAATACACACTCCATAGGATTGCCGTGAGGATTAAATGAATTAATATTGCATTTGTAAAGTACTTAGAACAGTTCCTGCAATCCATTTTATTTTACCAAATTGATAGACATGATGGACTCCCCTATTGTTACAAATATTACTTGTTTCCCATAAAATGGGAAAAAAGATGTTCATCATGGTGTTATTTATATTAGCTTTTTTCCCCATAAAGCTAATATAAAAAATGCTGTGATGAACATCTGTGTGTATTTATTTTTAGTCTTGCTCTGTCACCCAGGCTGGAGTGCAGCTCACTGCAACCTCTACTTCCTGGGTTCAAGCAGTTATCCTGCCTTAGCCTCCTGAGTAACTGGGATTATAGGAACATACCGCCATGCTCAGCTAATTTTTGTATTTTTAGTAGAGATGAGGTTTCACCATGTTGGCCAGTCTGGTCTCAAACTCCTGACCTCAGTGATCTGCCCGCCTCAGCTTCCCAAAATGCTGGGATGATTATTATTATTATTATTATTTTGAGACCGAGTCTCGCTCTGTCGCTCAGGCTGAAGTGCAATGGCGCCATCTTGGCTCACTGCAACCTCTGCCTCCTGGGTTCAAGCGATTCTCCTGCTTTAGCCTCCCAAGTGGCTGGGACTACAGGCATTGAGACTCTGTCTCAAAAAACATAATAAATAAATAAATAAACGTTGGCCAAAATATGTCCCCAAATACCTTCCTAGGCAATGTGGCTTTTTCAGTAAAAACAATGACTGAACACCTAATTCTTAAGGCTGCCCTAGTCCACTCCTTGTGAATATCCACCTCTTTCTTGAGCATTTCCAAAGCTGACCTCACCAACAATAGCCACGCCTCCAAACCAGCTCCTCTTCCACTGTCTCCCTTTGAATTACAGCTCCATTCTCTCTTGAATGCTCTCTGAGATTTCCCCTTTCCCTTCCCATCTTTTTTCCACCTGTCAGATAGCTCCCTCCTTTCATTCTGTTGATCAGCACCACAACTTTCTCAGTCCTCATTCCCTCCCATTCAGCCTGACTGTAAAAGTGTGTGTGTGTGTGTGTGAATTTTATATATTATTTTTTGAGATGGAGTCTTACTCTGTCACCCAGGCTGGAGTGCAGTGGTGTGATCTTGGCTCACAGCAACCTCCACCTCCCGGGTTCAAGCAATTCTCATACCTCAGCCTCCTGGGTAGCTCGGATTACAGATGAGCACCACAATGCCCAGCTATTTTTTGTATTTTTAGTAGAGACAGGGTTTCACCACACTGGCCAGACTGATCTTGAACTCCTGGCCTCAGGTGGTCTGCCTTTCTAGGCCTCCCAAAGTGCTGGGATTACAAGCGTGTGCCACCGCACCTGGCCTATGGCATTATTTTAAAT